GCCCAACAGTCGAAAGCCCGCTCACGTGAATGATCTATTATTCTACTGATCGAACAATGACTTGTGCGGCTTGTTAACACGTTAGTCCAATGCACCACAAGCTTCATATAACATATTGTGCTGCACTCTAACAACTTGTCCCCTGCATCATTATATAAAACCATGTATTTTATATTACAGGCATTTGGGGAATATGAAAATACTTTTATTCTGTTATCGTCTTCTACATTTCAATACTATGCAGGATTTCTTTTACGTCTAAGGTCGAACAACGCATGGGTATGGGTGGGTACGTCATCCTGAAAAATATTATGAGTGGGGGTGGGTGGGCAAAGCCAGCCCGCACAGAGCGTGGGTACCCAATGGGTACTCGACCAGGACCCTGTGTAGGGCTCTGGTGGACAAGCCCTCAAGCCTAATTTCATATATAATGAACAAAAATAACAACGAGAGTAAATAGGACGAAAAATTATAACTCAATAATAAGTATGAAAGAAAAAAATGAGCTGCTTCAAAAAATTAATGATGCTAAAATATCTATTAAAAAAACTACATATAAAAAAAAGATTGGCACGAGATAAAAAACTCAAATTAGCACATCATCAAAGACTGTGCGAGATTGCACCGCATAGCGAGAGTACGTACAATTGGGACAAAAGAAAAGCCATACGAAGCTCAATGATGCCTTCTTTCTCCTTGAGCTGAGAGATCCTGAATTTGAGTCTTATGTATATAATATGTATATGAATTTACTTTAATTATGCTAAATATCTCCCAAAAAAGTGCCAATATTATAAAATGTCAAATCTCGCACGTGAGCTTTTTACAAGCAAGTGCCTAGATAAATTTGAGCACATATTACAAAGAGAGGAAAAATTCAGGTGCTTTTGAATTTTGTTCTTTCATGAAAACCCAATTATGAGAACCCGATCAAACAAATGCTGAAGTGGGCCCGAGTTTACAAAACTCATAATTTTGGACATGCAACGCATAGTTAATTCAAGTGTTAATAAATATTATTCATTTTCCGACTTCGTTTGAGACAATTTTTTATAATTTTCTTAAATATTTTTTTAGTACAATTTTTAATTGAACTAAAAAATTTTGTACTAAAAAATTGTTTTAAAAAATAGTAAGAAAGCTGTTACAAACAAAATCTAAAGTTTGGTTTATATTTCCATTTTTTAATCTAATATGACTATCATCATTAAAATGGGTGATGATTATAATTAGGCTCGTACAATTAAAATACGCTGTTGTTAATCTTCTTAATGTTGGAGAGCTCGAGGTGAAGCCATATGATAGACATATGACTCAAGATAGACGAAGCGTTCATCAGAGTTAAATATGGTTCTTGAAAGAGAGATGCTTTGGCAAATTTCTTCTTTTAATGTTTGCATTAATGCCAAATTACTATGATTGATGGTTTTATCACAAAGGTACGTATTTTGGTTTAATATAAAGTTTCAATCATATTTCTCTAGATAAAAAAATATCATGGTCATATATGTTCAATTATGAGTATCATGAGTCATAAAAAATCAAAATTTTCTATTACAAAAACAATTAATAAAAATATAATTTTATTTAGATTATTTGGGTGATATGAAACTCTATATTTTTACTTTCAAATGATTATAAACTTAGGTTTTTTTATAATTAAGTAAGTCCTAATAATTTATTTTTTCTATATATATAAATAGTTAACAATGGCATAAATATTAAAGGGGAAATTTAACTTCATATGCCTAAATAATTGGAGAAATATACCCATGATTTCATATCTTACGAAAATATATTTGAAAGTTTTGTTTGAATCAAAATTATGCTATTTTTGAACTATATATTACTTTTTAGGCATGCATGACCTATATTGATTTGAGCATTATTCGAATAAGATTAAAAAAAAAATTCGATCAAAGTTGGGACTATATGAGAAAAAACATGCTTTATTATAATATTGTTTGAACCATATTCGAATCATATATCCAGATTTGAAGAACATGATACTCTTGGCTCTTAATGTTATATAAGCACTGCAATGCCTCTTAACTAGCATGATTAAATTAAATAAATACATAAATATCACACCAATTCAAATATGTAAATCCTAAATGAGGTGATGTGTGCAAAAACTTATATTTAACAATGATTAAACAATATTGGATCATGATCAAACCATCTTCGATAGTACTTGAACCATCTAGAATCATGATCGATCAAAATGATTGACCCATTGGATAAGTTCGTAAAGTCTTCAACCTGCGATTGAGCAATATTCAAATGAATTTTGACACATTATAGCTTTGCTTAAATCTTGTTCAAACTTTATTCAACCCTTAGTCAAATCTTATATTTAATAATGATTGAACCATATCATGTAACAATCATACTATCTTTGATAATAGTTGAACCATCTTGAACCATGATCGATCAAAATGATTGACCCATTCAATGGGTTTATAAAGTTTTCAGCCCATGATTGAGCAATATTAAAATAATTTTTAACTCATTATAGTATTGTTCAAACCTTATTTAATCCTTCTTTATAGGTAGTTTGATCATATATCAATAAAGAATCAAGGAAGGTTCAAATAAGACTGTAATGTGATGGAGATAGTTTAAATATTGCTTAATCAGAGATTGATGACTTTAGAAGAGTAGAAGACTCATCGAATGGGTTGATCATTTTTTTTAATTGAACAAATAACATTTAAATGATATTTGATAATGATTTGAATATTGTTTGATCATGTTTAATTTAATCATTATTATTGATACGTCATCACAAAATTAGCTTAATCGGGCACAAATCTCAAGGCAAAAGCTAGTTGGAAACTTAAAAAATTAATTTTGGTAGCACCTGAACTCTGATTTCAGCGAGCTTATAGTCAAACTGAGCGTCTCGGAAATACAAACCCAACGACACCAAATTCAACCCAATATGAGCCAAAATGGGTCCAAAATCAAGTACCCGAAAAGCTGTTGGAAGGTTCAAACCACAATTTGAGTACCAAACGATATCCGATTTTAACGAGCTTATACTCGAATCGAGCGGCTCAATGAGTCAAATCCAACGAGCCCAAGATCACCTAATTCTGACATCATTAAGGCCTCCAAATGTCCAACGAACGGTGCATGATCGAAGGGTTCAATATCGACCGTCCATTCAAACCACTCCCTATTCGCCTATGATCTCACACTTATTTACGAGCCATGCCACTCCAGAAAAACTATAAATAGAGCTCTTATTCTTCATAAAGGGGGACTGAAGTGAAGAGAGAGAAGAAGGAAGAAGCTCCTCCTCGACCACCGTCGGAGCTCTTCCCGCCGCCTGAAGACGCCGGAATTATGCCGGATTTTTGGGAAACGCCGGAAATTTGCAGAATTTTGTAACTTTGTGGGAAGTTTATTGTAAACTGATCGTCTTGATTTGTAAGAAGGATCAACCTTTGTATTTCAAACAAATACTAGTGAAACTTTACAACTGGGCGAGGCACCGTGGTTTTTTCCCTCTTTCGGGTTTTCCACGTAAAAATCTTGGTGTTCATTTATCTTTTCTGTTTGTATGCTGAATACTCGTACAACGCTCGGACGTGAATTTACAAACTCTACCGCCGCGTATATTCTAGCACGCAACAATTATAATGATAAATGGGGTTGGAATATTGTTCTATTAGTTATGGCAATTATAATGTAAATTGAAGTCTAACAATGAAAACATCAGGGTTTAGAGTACGAAACCTAGTGTGAATTTTACAAAGATTGAAAAATATTACTAACATTGAAGATGATGAATAATAAGATGTCGTCACGGTGAATTTTCATCATAGGTCAAAGTCAAGCCCCCTATACACTAGCGGAGGGAGGTTTAAACCATTATTTGGATTATCAAATGGTTTCCAAACATAACATGGTTATAATAGAATTGAGCAGTTAGACGAGACAAATCCAACAAGCCCACGATTGCCGAATTCTGATTTCACTAAGACATTTAATTTCCTATTCATTTACATTTTTTTTCTTGGTTGATATTATCTTAATCTTGTATTGATTCGATCTTAAAGAGATTTTATGATTTTTTTTTGTGCAATGAGATTTTTAATAGCACATATTTAGTTAATATATTGAACCCGTTCTAACAGAAATCAAGTGATTTGATGATGTAAGTCATTTTGAGAAGGAAAAAAAAAAAACAAATTCACTATCAAAGTTTTATCATTTTTAAACCTTATTATATCGGTCTCTAAGTCCTGATGTAAAAAGTTGAAGGAGATTTTAAAAAAATTAATTTACTCCCCCACCCGCTAAAAACAATTTCTGGCTCCGCCATTGCCCCTACAATTGTTGAAAATGAAGGTGATGAGAAAAATATGGGTTGAGCTGCTATTATTGAAAGGTTGCATAAATGTTCAATAGGAGTTCCAACTTTTGTATTAAAAGCAGAGGTATTTTGGTCTGAATGAATTTTTAGAAATCAAATAACAATCATATTTATGTAATGTTACATATAGTAAAACTTTTTAAAAAATATTAATGGTAATAAATTTATTAGAAAACACTTGTATTATATTTATTTAAACAACAACTCTAGGAGCTATTATTATGTGCAAAGATCAGACGGTTCTCCTATTCGGTTAAGCGCCGGGTATTCAGCGGTACTGAAGAATACCAAGTGTGGGTACTGAGCTCGACACGAACCAATAGGGTGACGTGGCACATTTTTACTAATCTCCGAACGCCCAGACTCGACACAAAATAATAAATCCAACTCTAGACATGTAAGTGTTTTAAGAAATTGTTTACATACGTAAATCAATAAAAATTTACTTGCAAATTAATAAAATAATAATATTATTATTAAATTTAAGTTAATAATAATAATAATAATTTATTATTTTCATTTTCGAAAGGCTCGACGCCAGGAAATTCAACACAAAAAAACCTCTTTAACCAAAACACTAGGAAAAAAAAAATATAAAAATAAAAATAAAGCTGCAAACATATTCTCCACTTCGTCCTCTCCCTTTTCCGGTTTTCGTCGTTTCCCTCCTTTTTAACCCCAACCCCTCGCCGCGATTGATAAGCATCCTAACCTTGGAATTCCTTCAAATCCCTTGCGGGCCTTTAATTCTTTATAGTCTCTCCCTCGCTTTCATCCATGGACGGCCATTACACCCCTTACAATCCTCGCACGGTAGAAGAAGTTTTCAAGGACTTCAAGGGCCGGCGAGCCGGCGTGATTAAAGCCCTCACCAACGGTGACCTCACATTTATTTGACAATCTTCTTTTTCCTCTTTAAGTTGTTTTGTTTTTGTGTATTTTCACGCTGGCCGTTCGGAGCTCGTTTAACTGATTCTGTTTGGGATGTCACAGATGTGGATGATTTCTACCAGCAGTGCGACCCAGGTTTGTGATTTCGTCATTTTTTATTGCCTATTTTGCTAGTTTCTTTGCTTTCGAGTATTTAGCCTCTTGCATGCAATATTTTTGAAGAGTGTTTTCAGTTTTTGTGTGAGATGTGCAGGGATTCTCAAGAATCTTAACATCGTCTTCTCTAACTTGAGAGTGAATGGAATAATGGTTTTTTCATTTTGTTAGCTTTTGAAATTTTGTTTCAATTTATCATTTTCTTGAAAGTTGAAGTAAAAAAAATTGATGCGTCATTTCTATTACTTTGGTTTCAGAATGGTGTTAGTAAATCATCTGCTTTGCTTTTGGAAAACCTAATATGTCATAAAATTTGATTTATATAAGAAACTTGTGACGGAAAGCACAACTCCATACCTTTCGGCCTATCACATTGCGTCTTGGATATGATCAACTTACTTGGATAGTAAATTGATCATCTGTGCGAGGGCAAATTTCAAACTAATTGTGTTTTAAGAATTAATTAAGCGATTAGGTATGCTAATAATTTAATTTAAAAATAGATATAGTAGCCCATTGAACAGGCGACTTGCACCTGATTGGACTAGCAGTTAGAACATGTTAGAAAAAAAAAAGAGCAAGTTGCCCAATAGACGGGCGACTTACGTTAATTAAACTTAAAAAAAGAAGACATTCAAAAGTTTAGTAATATATTTTTTTCTCATAGAACATGCATATAAGAATTTAGATAAGAGCATACGCATGCGCACACTAAGGAAAAAAAGAAGTACATTGTCTTCTTAATCAATAGAAAATACAATATAACAATGAAGGTTGAGGCCATCAAATACAGAGAAAATGTAGTCTAACGTTTCTTCTTCATCCTACATGGAATGATATATGTACCGGGCGTGCAGTGCTGCAATACCCTAAGAGGTCTATCCCTCAACTCATGCAGCTTTGCATGATGCTAGGGGTGTCAATTCGGGTCAACAGGTCAGGTTCGGGTACAACCTGAGTTGACTCGGGCTTAAATGGGTTGACTCGAACCATACCCGGTTTAACAAATGGGTCAAAATGTTCAATCTGAACTCGACCTGTATGGGTTATGGGTTGACCCAACCTGCGAACCCAGAATAGGGTTAGGTTTCGACGTTCCGTGATGTTTGGTCGACTACGGCTAGCGTGCGGGTTTTGTGATACAACGGTTCTGACGACGGTCGTGCACGAGTTGGTGAGTTCACCATGCGACAAATGGTAGCGGGCCAGCGGCGCGAGTGCGGTTTGCGCGGACCTTGGTCTTGTCTTAATTGGCTATGCTTGCTAGGCGACAAGGGCGTACGCGAGCGCAGTTTTTCGGTGTGGGCTAGGCACCCTGGGCGCGTCTGAAGCGACAACAACAACGGTTAAGCGATAGCAACAACAACAACGACAAAGCGGCAACAATGGCTTAGCGCCAGTGGCAGGTCCACAACAGCAAAGGGTTGAGTTGTCTTACATATGACAACGAGTCAATTCGGGTCAAATCCGGGTTGATCATAACCCAATCTGAACTATAAACAGGTCAAAAAATGAGACCATAACCCGACCTGTTTCTTTAATAGGTTGACCCGAACCCAGATTTTTCGGGTCGTTTTCGGGTCAGGTTTGGGTCGGGTTTATGGGTTGTTTAAAAAATTGACACCCCTACATGATGCACAACTTCCTCCTCATATGTAGACGGAATGGTCATAAGAATGTAGTAATCGGTGGGTCATGATGGAATGTCTTGTAGCATCGGCTGGTAGAAGAAATATTGAGATGAATAATGCTCTTTGTAAGATGATGGTCTTGCAACCATGTATGTGGCTGCACAAATGATAGGGTGCCACTGAAGTTGGTATACTTTGTATGTGCAGCTTCTGCACAACGATCATCCTCGATATGCTTATGTCTTCGCATATGTTAAATCAATTCTTCCATATGGTTGATAACTGGTTGGATCACTCCTAAATCATGTTTACCAAAATATGGCTACAATGTGGTATATGAATTGAGAAAGTAGTTATGCTACACATATTAAGTTTGTTGGTTAGAGATGTGTGACTGCAAATTTTTACAAACACTATGAATTGAATAATATAGGTTTTGATGACTAACCAGATGACACTCCAAGGGTGCACGTAGGTAGTAAGTCATCGGAGTCTCGACAGGTGGTTTCAACATGTACAAGAAGAAAAGGGAAAGTTCGGTTAAAAAAAAAATTAACATGCCAGAAGTCCCCCGTTAGACCGGCAACTTAGGTCTGGTAGGTTAGCCGCTAGTTATCGATCTAGTTGGTGTTGACTGGGTCAAAAAGATAGCAAGTTGCCCGTTGAACGATCGATCATGCCTATTTTTATATTAAATTTTAAACGTATTTAATCACCTAATTAGTTCTTAAATTATAATTAGGTTAAAAATTTTCCCTCTGTGCTAGAATAACAAGGACTTTATTTCGTGCGAAGATCACAATATAACAACCACATTGTATTATCAACAAAGTCCCGGTCTTCTTATATCATATGACATGTTTATTTTTCCTTAATTGTTTATAAGTTTTAAAGCTCATCTCATCAGGTTAAATGAGATCCAACATCATCAATAATCTATTTCGTGTGTCGTTGTAGCAAATTTATTGACTTGGCTCTCATTTCCTAAACCGTTTAATATTATTTTATTGACCAAAAAGTTTAGTTATAAATTTCAAAGGCTAAATAACCTGCAGGCTTCCACTTAAAGTGGAGGTTTTGGACTCACCTTACAAAATAAAAAATAGAAAAAAAAAATCAAAGTATTTTTTTTTTTTAAATATAAAGTGTGAAAGTATAGATTTCTCTAAAAGGCTTATAATGAAAATGAATCAAAACTATTTTAAAAAAGGAAAAAAAAAAGTTTCAACTAAGAGGTGTCAATGGTTGGAATAGGTAAAGGCAGATGGATTGCAATGTAAGGGTTATAAGAGGGCCAATGGTTATAACCCTTAAATTGTGTGCTTAATCCCTACCATTATTGGTTTATTTGTGGGTTCAACGATCTTTCAACACTTCCTTTAAACTATCATGATTTCATGATTGTTCGATAAGTTTTGCATTAGTTGTTGACTACCTAATGCAATCCTCTATTTTTCTCATCCATAGTTTAGGATCCAACGACGACCGTGTTAAACTAAATAATATAAATCTACAATTCCAAAATTGCTTAAAAATATTTTTAAACATGAGGTTTTAGAGTCCTTTAGCGAGAATTTCTATAAGTTAATTTTCTGTTGACACATATGCATTGAAGATTTACACACTTTATAGTTTCTCTTTTATGAAATGTTTATCCATCTTCACATATTTGGTATGGTCATGTTGTATTGAATTATAAGCAATGCTGATGACAAATTTATTATCACAATATATCTTCGTTAGCCTTTTTCATTTGATTTTTAAATCTTTTAAAATAATTTTGATTCACAAAAAATTGTAAATTCCTTGGGCAATGACGCTAAATTCAAATTCAATGCTAGATTTTGAAATAACATGTTTCTTGCTCCTCATGTACTGATATTTCCTCCAAAAAATTGTACCATAATCAGTCGTGAATCTTCTATCAATGGTTTTCCTGCATAGTCTATATTAGTATACCCTTCAATTTTTAAAGTATCATGCTTTTTATAGAGATTTTGATTTAAGATATTTAAGGATTCCACAAGCAACTTAAATGTGAGATTCTTTGGGTTTGTGCATGAATCAATTAATGAGACTCATTGCAAATGAAATGCTTGGATGGTTGTGAGATAAACATATAAACTTTTCAACTAATTTTTGATATTATACCATATCTACTTCTTTTTCTTCTTCATATGCTTCCAATTTCACAAGATTTGTAATCAACTTTTTTTTTTTTTCATTAGATAAATAACAAATTATGTTAGAGAGTAGTATTCTTTATTTTTATTGAACAACTTCTATTTTCAAGAAGTAATTGAATTTACTCAACTCTTTTATCTCAAATATTTCATTAAGTTTTTCTTGAGATATCATTTTCTCTATTCTCATTATTTGTGACAATTATATCATAAACATGTAAGCTAATAGTTGCAACTATTAGTGGAGCATTTTATGAAGAGGGTGTGGTATTTTTAGTTTTGTGGGTATTCACCTTCATTCATTGCTTTTGTGAATATGCCAAATTATGTTCTTAGAGGTTGTTTAACATTATATAGAGTTTTTTTTAATTTGCACACTTCATTCTTTGTGAAAGAATTATCAAATCTTGGTGGTTGATTCATATTGACTTTATGAATATACCCATGTAGGAAAGCATTTTTTATTTCATATTGCTACATGGACCATCCAAGATTGGTTTTAAGAGAGATTAAAATGCATATTGTATTCATTTTTGTAACAAGAGCAAAAGTTGCTTGGTAGGGTTGAGTATAACCTTAGGCTTTCAATCTCACTTTATATCATTCCATGCTTATATTTACTCTATATTTTATAAAAAATTTCATTTGTGGCCTATTCTTTTTCTTTCATTTTTGTTTTTAATGATCTCTCAGGTGTAATTTTTTCATATCATTAATCTTTTTTTCATAGCATCTTTTCTATTCTTATTTTAAGCGTCTTAAATAGAGTTTGTAGTATTATAATAGAATTATTTTTGTTATTTGTATGGAATACTTTATGAGTAGGAGGAGAAATTTTGAAAAGATGTGTCTGGAAGATGGGATACATATGAGAATGTGTAGTGATGGGTCGATCATTGTTACTTGATAATGGTTTCGAGCCTTGAACTTGTTGGAGATTTTGGTTGGATTTATTCTTTCTTGTATAGACTTTAAGGGGTATAATATTTGGATTCGTTGTAGTTTGTATTGTAGGATTATTAAGATGAAAGGCAGACATTTCATTAAACTTATCCTCCAGTTGATAGTTCTCTTTTAAAGAGGTGTTTAATTGAAAAAAAATTTGCTTTTCATCGAAAGTGACATGTTTTGAAGTAAGATTATAAGACTTATTCAATAAAAGACA